CGAGAAAGAACTGGAGAAGATAACAAAATACAAAGACCTACAAATAGAAATAGAAAGACTGTGGCAAAAGCAAGCAAGGGTAGTACCAATAGTAATAGGTGCCTTGGGTGCAATCCCAAAACAACTGGAGCACCACTTGAACACCATTGGCATTGACAAATTCGCCATTAGTCAATTGCAAAAGGCGGCCTTACTAGGATCTGCTTCCATCCTGCGACGATATCTGTAATATACCATCAAACATCCACATCTGCCTATCCCAGGTCCTTGGTAAGGACTCAATAGGTAGACAAAATGCCAAATCCAGTCTGAACATCTGGCTGACTGTGCGATGATCCATAATAAAGTTAGAAGGGACCTTGGAGGTCTTCTAGTCCAACCCCCTGCTCAGGCAGGAAACCCTATACCATTTCAGACATAACAGACTGGACAGCCATTTCTGTAACTTCTGTAACTTCAAACAGTCACTAAATGAATTGTTATAAATCGAGGACTATCTGTATTATCAGTTCCCATGTTTTTCTGACTTTTCACACATGCTATCAATGCCAAATGTAAGGGATCCCAACTCTAGAGCAGGGTTACCCAACCCCTGGTCCATGGACCAGCACCAGGCCACAGCATGCCAGCAACTGGGCCGCACAAACAAGCCAAGCCCCATCCATGGGATGCATGCAGCACACAAAACCACACTTTCTCTGGTACGCGGAAAAATCTTTCTCCACAGAACCGGTCCTTGGTGCCCAAAAGGTTGGAGGTCTCTGTTCCACTGGGCCAACTTCAAGAGAGGCACATAAAATAATTGTAGGCAAAACCCCACTGAGTGGATACCCCAGAAACTACTTTATGGGTAGAAACATGGTGTTCTTACACTATAGTGTCTGTCAGTGAAACACTTGATCTATCTGCTTTTTGGCTTTAGTCATTTCTTGAAAAGTACTGAATAATCGGTGTTGGGAACTGTTCTGGAAAATAACAGAAAACCAAAACTCTTATTTCAAAGGAGGAGAGAATGGAGGGCCCAGAAGGTTAAGAGAAATTTAAATCACACACCTACACATCAAGGATATTCTGGAATACATCAGCTAATGTTTGTTTATTTTAAGGCACTGGAAGGAAAGAATGGCCAGATGGTAGCGGAAAGAGCATCAAACGCACACACCGTAATGCTGAATCACAGTAATGGAAACTCCTGCACTTAAGCTTCTATTACAGTGTTGGGCAAACAGGTTTTTCTGGGCAAAGATAGGCATAATTTAAAGCCAAGAGTAATGTTGACTTGTCCTATGCCTTATGCTCATTACATTATGCTCAGAATAGTCCTGCGTGAAAGAGGTAGACGCCCGTGACGTCAGCCCCACTTGGTACGCCAGACTAGGAAATGAGAAAAAAAGCCAGTTTAGTCTAGTGGTTAAGATGCTGGTCTAGAAACTAGGAGACAGTGAGTTCTAGTCCCGCCTTAGGCATGAAAGCCTAGTGGATGTCTTTGAACCAATCACCAGGAGACAGTGAGTTCTAGTCCTGACTTGGGAATGAAAGTCATTGGGCCAGTCCCTCTCTCTCAATCAAACCCACCTCACAGTAATGTTGTGGTGGGGAAAAGAGGAGGAACGAGTATTAGGTATGTTCGCCACCTTGAATTATTTATAAATGTAATAAATGTGGGATAAAAATTTAATAAATAATACATCCACAGGAAGCCTAAAGCTACTTTTAAAAATTAAATGTAGGAACAGGATCTATGTGCACAGTTCTGATTTTGCTATGGTTCCTCCCAATAGTTCAGTGACTTAGGAGGTGACAGTAATAGACTTCAATCATGGATAAATTGGTGAAGGAACTGTGGCTAAAATCCAGCGGAATAAATTTGACCTTCTAGCTAAAGATTAAAGTTCTAAATAAGAGGCTTCGGTAGAAACTTAGAACTCTGTATTTAGATCAAGTCTGTCCAAACCTTGGCAACTTTTAAGATCTGTGGATTTCAACTCCCAGACTTCCCCAGCCAGCAGGAAAAATTCTGGGAGTTGAAGTCCACAAGTCTTAAAGTTGCCAAAGTTTAGACATCCCTGATTTAGACTATCTTGTAAAAGGAAAAAGATTATCTCCCACTTCTATGAAATGATTACGTTGTTTTTTTTGTTTGCATGATTAAGGATGTTCCAAAAGCTTTGAACTCTCCAAAGTTATTTTGGAAAGCTGTCTTTTGGTGCCATCTTCAGGCTTCTTTTTTTATCGTATATTTTTATTAAAAGGTTTTTTTTTTCTTAATATGAAATAAAAAAGACAATGGAAAAAAGGGAAAGCAGATAGAGGGGAATAAAAAAGAGACAGAAAGCAGTGACTTTCAACCTTTTAAAGTGAAGTAAGATACATAATGATGTTACAGTATCAACTTTTTAGTTATACCAAATAGTAACTACTAACCATTTCTATAACAATAACTATCATCAGGCTTCTCAGCATTTCTTGACCAGAAAATCTAATAAAGTGACTCTAACTCACACCACCTTTCAATTGTCAAATACTTACTAAGGTAAGTCGTGGACAAGACGATGCTTTAAATAAATGAATAAAGATGGATTGTAGCTGAGGCCCTGGGCCTGGATAGTGCCCTTCCCCTGGCTGGGGATGATTGCTGGGGCAGTGGCATGTGTTTTATTTTTTGAT